TTTTTTTTTTTTTTTTTTTTTTTTTTTTTTTTTTTTTTTTTGTAAGTTCTCCCTCGAGTCAGCAACGAGATAACGGAACGCAGTTAATGGCATTTTAGAGTAAGACGAAGGAAATCCAATTTATCCGTCACTTTGTCGCGACTAAAATCCCGAAGGAAGTTCAACCGTGTCGACTGGTTTACAACGAATTCGATCAACAAAGCGAAACCTTATTTCGTGCGAGCCTCGTATGTTGACGGATGATAATGCGTTTATCTTGCACGCTTTAACGCGTGTATAGTTCTCGTACGGTTTTTGCAATCACACCGCCTTTTTTCCTTCTACTTAATTATCCGGAAATGTTCCGATTGAGATCGTAAACTTCGAGGTTTTATCCGTCGACGCTGTGAAACTTTTATTCGTAACAGAAGTACGATAGCCGTGTTATTACCATCCAGCAAGAAAGGGTTTTCTACTACTTCTTCCTTTCTTGAAAGATTTAGATAAAAAGTCGGAATTGTAAAAACTTCTTTCTAAAATTGGAGTTTAGTGTCGCATCAACTACAGGTTATTAAAGAACTTACTACAGGAAAATACCATGTATTAACCATGTACGAAATAATATTATATTAATATTAAATTTCATCGAGTAACTTTGTTTCCCAAAATAGAGTTTTGTTGGCTTCCAAATCCTACAGAACAGATGTCTTACTTTTCTTTTTCACCGACAGGCTAGTAGGAAATTGTGAAAAACACAGAAAAGTGTATTACGAAGCTGGAACGTTCTACCGGCTATGTTTTAATATGCGATCCGCAAAAATCGCGCACTAGACAGAAACGTTGATCGTAGTTGATTACAGTATCGCAAGAGAGCGGGTAGTTTAATAATTCTGCAAAATTAACACGAGCAACGGTGAACCCTATGACGCTGTGTTTCCAGGATAATATTAAGCGAGGATCGTTGGAAATTTTTCAAGGGAAATACTCAACGAAAAGATCGTTGGTTGAAATCGCATGCAAATTCCGCCGCCGCTAATGAACTTTCTCCTGCTCTGCAACATATTCATTTCACACGCGCTAATTACACATAATTTTCTAAATGCAAATGCCCGCGAAAATCGTCGAATATATGCATTTGTGATTCAACTTGCGCTCACAGACAGACGCGCGTTCATTCAATTTTGTCGTCCCTTGACTTTCGTCTTCGGGGTTGTTCAACAATTCGTTATTTATGCAAATCATCGTGGACCTTCGGCAGACTCGGCTAGGGGGAAGGAGAAAGAATTTCTCGAAGGCACAAAGGGATCGAGAAAATTGACGTACTGCCTCGGAAGATCCTTTTGCCTCGCAAAGTACAATCATGTATTCCATTTTCTAATTCGATATTCTTCGTCTTTTGTTACGTGGAAATCAAGTTTCTCGATGTTATCCTGAAACCGGTAACGCGTTCATCCTCATAAGCGGAAAATGTCGACCAAACGCGAGGGTCACTGCTTTGAAAGCGCCAATTTGAACATCATAGGAGAGAAGATACGATAAGTTCGCTTTAATTGATTTTTGGATGTTGAAATCGCTTGGCGACTGAAAAAGAGTACTTTAATACGACGTGGACGAAAAAAAGAATAAATTATTAGGTTCAAAGACGTAAAGTACAGTTTAAAGACAGATGATGCATATCCATGAAGTTTCGTGGAAATTGAGAGACATCAGTGAATATTTATGCATTTATGAAGAAGTTAAGTGTGCAAATGTCTACGGTATGTACATAATATGCAAAAAAAAAAAAAGAAAATCAAATATTCAAAATAAAGCACCAACTATCATAAAATATAAAGAGCTAAATCTCTGCTTAGATGCCATCTTTTTAGCGATGTTCATAAAAAATTTTGCATTTGCATAAAAAGACACACTTAATTCGAAAATGAAGTAAAAACGCAATTTCGTTGAAACGGGATTCGTTGGAAACGTATTAAGTTTTTAAATTGAACCTTTATAAAAAAACGAAACGTCTGACTGACATTTTTTAATATTATCATGTTTCCAAAGTTAGCGAACGCTTGACGGAAACGTAAAAGTTCAAGAATATTTCTTGGAAATTGAAACACATTGTAAGATATTATCGATGAATCATGCCGTGCATAATTGATCTCGTTCGCGTTATTCTGTGCTAACTATAATCTGATGTAAGTAGAATAACATTTCGCAGACGAACAGAATCTGATTTTGTTCGTCAAATGGTGGCAATTCTAGCACGAATGACATAAAATTTTGATGTGTCCCTGTAATCATATTTAACTAATGCTTAGTATGCCATACAGGTAATATAATTACTTCGTATAATTACTACAATTAATATAATTACTTCGATACTCATCTTTATACATTATGAACATAATACAATAATATAGTAAAAGTACATTCACTAACACATAATCAATATTCGTTTCTTAAATTCAAAAATGTGTTTAAATGCGTTCAGTATAAAAGTGGTTACTTATCTAGGTCAACTAATTTAATTTCACACTTAATCCTATAATCTAGCGTTATTTCAAAAAAGAGAGAACTATTTAGCACGTCCGTATTGTTTTTATGCATCGTGTGTGACACGACAAATATTTCTGTTTTAAATGCTTTCCTGAAGAACATCGTCATTGCGATATTTAAGTAAACCATAGTATTTGACACAAGCGTCCGGCAAATATCATGCTTCACTACTACAAAAGGTATGATCGTAACTTCGCACGTAGAAGTTTGCAGATCACCAATCTGAACGAGCTCACAGTTGAATTTTTAGTGACCTTCATACATTTATGATAATAAAGCACGATATTTTCAAGAGATCGTATAAATGTAAAGTACATTTAACGTTACTACGGATAAATTGCCTTTGTACGTCTACGAGTACAAATTTTTCAATAGCTATTGTCTTGAAATATTTATATGACACTGATTTATAAAAATTAACGAGTAAGTAATTACCTTTTATTGTTTCTGCCTTTTAACGTGCATTATTAAAATTTAATTATGCGGACATACCGAATTGAATATTTTTACATCTATTGAAGTACTTTTCGGTATGAAAGCTGGATTTTGTGCGTTGAAATGATTTTATAATTCAAATCATATTCATGTATCTAATTATACAGAGTTTTTAAAAGGTTATTTATTTGAATGTAAAAAGTAAAACTACAAAAAGCAATTAACGCTTTTTGAAAATAATATTATTCGAAAATTCTTTATCGCTACATTTTAAAGCACGTGAAAAATTGTGCGATTGTCAGTTAAACTTTTGTTCGATATCTTGTACCGTTTCGTAAATATTTACGATGATTTGAGAATATTGTCATCGTAATTTCTTTGAAAGCGTGTTCCCATCCCTAAGGCTATCTGTTCGCCAAGACAAAGAATGGTTTCGTTATTAGCGTCACTCAAACTACATTTCTACAATTTCCTCCATTTAAACAATACTTAAGCGTTAGATGGAATGTGACACTAGGTTTTCACGGAACAAAGTTGACTCAGACACTTTTCTCGTGTTATAACCGCGTGAAAGCAACGTTATATTTACACGAAGCATCCCTCGAAACGGCCACAAGAAGCGCAAAGGGATCGAGAAAGGGATAAAAAGAATAAATCTCGACCGATCGATAGGGCACTTAACCTGTTTAGCGCAATTAATCGCATTGCGGGAAATGAATCTGTAACAACGTTTATCGGAACGAGCGGGTTAAAAGTTACGTATTACGATGGTGCAGGAGATTCAAGGGAATCGAGAACGCGTGAAGAATTTTTCTTTAATTCTTATCCGTTCCTTTTGTTAATTTGATACGTTGGGATGATTATAAAATTGCAATATCTACATTCCTCTCACGTACATCGTTTTGTTGTAAAATATGCGAACAATCTCGTATGTAAATGCAAAAAAATTTCTCTATTCTCAACGAATATTAAACGAAACAAATATTAAACGTGACTTGGAAATTTCCTCTCGTAACTGGAAAAAAGGAAACATAGTATTCAATAATACAAATTCATGGAAAAGATTATAAAAATCAAAGGTCGCGTGAACACCCTTAATTCGCTACTCGCGTGAACTAAAAGTCTTACTCCAGCGAGACACCTGAAAACAAGTCAATAATTCGACGTCTAATCGTTTCGTTTTATAAGCGACGATACGGGACAATGATGGAAGGTGAAACGCCGGAAATTGACGTTTTCCGTTAAAATCGAGCTGATACTCCCCCGGAAGGCTCGTTTACGAGGCGTAATTATAAAACAGCTCGGACGCTCAAGGCCGTCGAGCTCGCCATAAATTCA